GTCCCAGTCCCTGTCTGACTTCATTATAGTTTCAAATCCTGTGTGTCATAGCCACCACAAAACAGTCTATAATTGCTAACATGCTGCTTTGCATTCTAGATCCAGGTGATTGAAGATGACAGAAATAACCGTGGATCAGAGCCATTTGTCACTGGAGTGAGAGGGCAGGTTCCACCCCTTGTCACTACCAATTTCCTGGTAAAAGATCAAGGTAATACACTGCTCACTACTTACTGCAGCTCCTTCCAAAAAAAAAATAATAATAATATAGTGCCAGAGATCTGACAATAGAATGCCCAGATTCTCAGTGTACAATTTCTTGGGACATTCCCTTTGTACAGGGTTTTAGTGCTCTAGCTTTTTGTTAACCAGTAGAGGCTTAAATTCTAAAAATGTTTTTGGTTGTGATCTAAAATAAAATATAAGTTCAGTCTCAGACAGTAGTGGATGGTTTGACCAATCCATCCATAGGTAAAAACAATTAACGTTTTTTAGAGGAATGAAGTGGAGGCAATGAATGTTGGAAAGCCAAGAATGAAGATTTGTGAGTAGAAATATGTTGCATATTTATATTAGAGTAAAAGGGAACATTTTAGGATGAAGGCATGTTGGCAGTATGAATGTGAAGGGTCTAGGACTGGAAGTGCATTATGGTGTCATGAATCATGAATACAATGCAATATATGATCTGGGAGTTGGGTGGAGAAAGACGTTACCTTATCTACCTTCTTTTGTGACTACTGGTAGTGTTGTCAGTTTCTCATTTTCAGGGTTGCTGAAATCTTATACAAATAAGTGCCTTATTTTCTAAACCAGAATTGCACTGCTCAACAAGGAAGCTGTTGGAAATGAAAAATGGAATCTTCCCAAATTATAGTGTCCGAGTACCTGTTTACAATACCTTAAGTTAGCATAATCCATTTGAGATCCACCTGACATGTAGGTCGGCCCTTGTATAAATAGTGTGTTATTTTTATGGGGCTTTTTTTGGAGGGGAGAAGTACTGACATCATGTTGGCAGGAAACAGAAATTAATTGTGGTATAGTTTGAAAAAGAAGGTAGCAAGAGCTTGGGAAGGAAAGCTCCTGGGAGAGTAATCTTGAGCAGATAGTTGGCCCTGTATATATGCACAAGGAACCAGACAGCCAAAAATGGAAAGAAATAGAACTGTATTTCCAAGAGGATACAGGGCTGGCATCAGAGGTAAATAAAATGAAAAATATCTGATGAAGAGATATGCAAGAGTATCCACCCATGATAACACAGGGAATTCAATCCCAGAGAATTTTAAAGCCAAACAATGTAATGAGTCTCAGGTGACTTTCTATGATATGAGAGTAGAAAACATATTGAATACTACTTAATATTGTCAGAAGTGTTACTGACTGGATAGGTAATTTGTCAGAATGAAATGTTCTGAAGGCACATCCTGAAAAGGACCTCTGCAAGGCCAGTAAATAGTTTTCCTGAAGTCATGATGTGTACATTTCTCATTCCTCAAGAACAAAATTTGGATGCAATTAGCCTGTCCCTCGTATCAGTAAAGAGTAATGTATTATAGGAAACTATAATGCACTGCCTAGGTGTTGGACTAGGCATTGTAATAGATTTATTATATCACATCTTGATAGTATAAAAATGCTTTGGCCACAGTAAAAAACATTCTGCAACGATTCCAGAGCACTTTACAATTTACTTCCCCACTTTGTTATGACAACCACAATTAATGTGGTGTATTGGACAAAGTAGGATGCTTAGTTGCCTTATTCTGCAATGGAAAATATTATGGGGTTTTGGTGCGTTGTTTCCATAAAAACCTGAGTGCTTGCCTTAAAATGCAAGATTATCCCAATAAACATGGCGGTATGTTCTTGGCAGAGATGGATGTATAGCAGAGAAGACTGTGAAAGGTCAGAGAAATAGCATTGTTTCATGGTAATATAAATATTTTTACCACCCAGTAAAATCGATAGCTGTTCTCTTCTTTTTAACATGTACCCATGTATTTTATAAGTATAACAAAGAAATCCAACTACTACAGTCCTGACAAAGGTTAAGCCTTGCTAATGTACACTACTCTTTTGTTAAAGAGACAGCAATGCATAAAATAATGAGTTAAAACCTTGTTATATGGCTCAAAATCCCTTGTAGATTCCATTAATAAGTATTTTAATTTTTTTCTCATGCAGTATCAAGCAACACGGCAGCTTGGTCATTAGGGACTTTAAAAATGTCTCTACTGCTAACCACACACTTCAAAAAGTAGATAGTAACTGTAGTAAATCTGCTGTACTCCTGTAATACCTACTCCTTTCAGAAATCCATATTTGAGCTGGAGAGTTTAGTAGAGTTGGAGGCTACATGTTTCAATAAGATGATATTGGAGTATTGGTGTGTATGCCTCCATAAAGAGAAGTTCTCAGCAAGGGCTAAGTGTTTCCCAGCTGCTGGAGGCTAAATGTGTTGGAGAAGCTTCATTCCAGCTAGACGGCTAACACCTCATGGCAGCACATAGTTATATAGCTACTTCACTACTAATAATGTGCAGAAATTCTGTTGAAA